CTCTCAAGACATTATGAAAATGACAACTATTTGTTTCTTTAGACCGATCAAAAAAGAAACGTCACGCCCGATGTGACACTCCAAAAATTTAAATAAAAATCAAAATAATTTTTATTAGTCAGATAAAATATTACGAAAATAACATTTTTATAAATAATTGAGTCAGACAAAAATTCAACAGATGTGACATTTTAATCAGATAAAATTTTCAAAATTTATGACGTTTTAGTCAGATAAAAATACTTCAGTAATAAGAACAACATTTTAGTAAACAAGTGAACCAGACGGAAAATTTACATTTTCGACATTTTTAATCTGATAAAAGTGGTCCGATAAGAGAAAGTAACATTTTATATCAAATAATAGGAAAATACACACAAGATTATAAACTTTTAATACCCAAGTTGCAGGAGTATAAACTACTCCGTAGTACATACGAAGTGTAATAGTAGTAATAATACAACTAGGAATTTACAACTATTACTCCTAATACAACTAGTAATAGTAGTAATAATAAAGCTTAGCACGTAGGTTACAAAGGAGAATTTATAGAACAACTATGACTCCTTCTTCATACGTATTAGGAGTTATAACTAGGTAGTAATATATAACTATAATATGTAATATTACTCCCGGTAGGTTTTTGTTGACCGGCAACTTCAAAAAAAAAACGAAATTGATTAAACTCCAACTCCAACTCTAACATCTCAGCCTAAAACCCTCATCTTTCCCTATAAATAATAGGCCAGAACCTGCGTTTTCTTCATCCCAAAACCTGATACATATATACACATATACGTATATATATATATATAAATTTTGACCCAGCGTTTTAGCCAGAATCAAGCCTTGAGAATACTTCTCAAACCTTCCCCTTCGTGATACGAATCCAACGGAAAAAGAATCGTCGAAAACGGTCATGAAACGAGGGAGAAAGAGCTCGCCGGAGTTTCGCCGGGGAAAAACTTTTCGACAGAAAACGGAGAGGAGGGAGGAGCTGCCGCTGCCGCCAACCCATCACCGACCGTTACCGACCATCAGGAGTGCATCGCCACCGTCGTTGGCCGCATTCGTCGAGGTAGGCCGTCCCCTGCGTTTTGCTCGATTTTTCCGGCGAAGTAATGAGGAAGACAACCCAGCTGAGCTGGGTCTGTCTTGGGCCTGATTTTTTTGGGCCAGAAGAATTAAACTTGGGCCAGTTCGGCCCAGTTGCAATAAAAATTAAAAATAAAATAGTAAATGAAATAAATAAAATCTGGAAAAATATAAATTAAATACCTAGTATAAATATACATATTCGGACCAACCAGAATTGAAAAATAAAATTTTTAGCTATTTTTAATTGATTTAATTGAAATTGGGTCAATTTATACACATTTAGTAAATAATTAACTAAATAACGAAAATAATTATGAAATAAATATTGGAGTAAACTAGGATAAATATATGACTAACTAGGACCTTATGGACCATTTACAATTAATAAATATTAAGATTTAGTATATTTAATTGTAATTGAACCGATTAATAGATATATGAAATTAAAGGAATAATTAGGGAAAATAATTATAAAATAGATATCTGGACAACCTAGGTCGAATATAAACCCAAAATATATTTATGGACGGTTACTAATTTATAAAGTCGATTCTTAGTCTATTTATTTAAATTAGGCCATATAAGACTAGTTAAGTAATTAAATAAGGAAATATTAATATTAATGGTGAAATAAATAAATCAGTGAGGTTGAAAAATAATATTCTGGACTAAAAATAATGTTTGAATAAAATAAATATATTCGGTTATGTAAATAAAGTAATTAGATAATAACTTATGAGTAGGGTAAATTAATAGTGATTATTGAATAAAAATTGGATGTTGTAGTCAATAATATTAGAATATTTTATTTAATATTAGAATTCAAATATTATAATTAATGGCTGAATTAATAAGGTAATTTGATTAATAAAAAGTGATTAACCAAAGTTAATGCGAATAATAAAATAAAAGGAGAAAATCGGGTAAAGTAATTACAAATAGAATAAGTGACTAATTTATCATATTTAATTAAAAAGGTGATTATCTAGAGACCGGATTAGAGGAGGATAACTAGGAGCAACAGGACTTAAGGTAAGTTTCTCTGCCAATCCAAAATTGTTTCCTCGTATTATATGCTTATTATATGCATTATGTGATTAAGTGTGAATTGTGAATTTTGTGTATGTGATTTTGAGGAGATATTAATATACGGTAGTTGAGAAGTATAAATCAAGAACTTTTGGGGTATTAAATATTTTTAAATACCTTCGAGACTTTTTAGAGAAATTAAGAAGTATTTTTGAAGTATTGTTAAGCAAAGATAAAATTTACATTTTCATAAGGAGATAGCATCTCGGGAGTAATCCGAGGTGTCGGTTTTTCCACATCCGGATAAATGTGGAGGGTGATTAGAGCTACTACTACTAAGAAGTACACTTTGGATCTATGATCCCTTTTAAGTAAGATTTGGATCTATGATCCCTTTTAAGTAAGATTTGGATCTATGATCCCTTTTAAGTAAGATTTGGATCTATGATCCCTTTTAAGAAGAAGTTATAGTAGTAGTCCCTAATCATTCAAGCATTTTAGAATTGGGGTGGTTGGGTTCCGACCACTCGGGATGACTTACTACTCGGAGGGCTTGGAATCCCTTTTAGGGGGTGTGCACACTTAAGGTAGTCGTTTCGTTTCCAACAGAGCAGTTGTGGTACCGGCACTTGTTCGGGGTGGCCGTCCGTAACCACGGTCCACCGGGCTCTACCGAAAGGTTAAGCACCGCCCTTCTAAATTACTAGGAAGTTAGAGAAGAAGTGATTTTCTTAAGAAGTTTAAAGAGAAGAATTACTAAGAGATTTTCCAAGAGAAGTTTAAGATTTTAGTAAAGAAGTAATTTTTAGAAAAAGTAAGGAGAAAAGTATTTTGGTGGAGTGCGTCATTTTTATATGATATTATATATAACAATCTATTTTTAGTCAAACCTGATTATTTTACGGGGTTGGGTAGTACTTACTTAGCTCTAAAGCTAATTTTTGTTATTTCTCTTGTCTCTCTCTTCTCCCTTAAATTTTATCAGGTGATAAGTTGGATGCCTATGTGGATTGATGGATTGCTCGAACTTGAGTGCGAATTAGAAGATGTCTTAGTTAAATCTAGTCTGAAATAAACATTTACTTATTATTTCCTTAGTTTTTATTGTTTTACTTTGAGTTGCCTGTGCATTCGGTTAAGAGATGACCGAATGTGGCGGTGACACCCATTTCCCTATTTTAGACTTCCGTTGTATTTCTTCAACTCTTTGATGAATAAATAAAGTATTTCTTTTAAATATATCATTGTTTTTGGGCGGGAAATTTAGGGGTGTTACACCCGATTGGTCACACCATGTGCCAACACATATAGGGCTTTTGCTACCTGTTCTTCAATTCTAACTCGTACTGTGGGTCGAAGGCCACCATATCTAACTAAGATATCACAAAGTCCCACGAATGCTTCTAGCTCAATCGTACAATACCAGGTCCTGAATCATGAGTTACAACCCTATCGAACAGTATAGTCCTTACCCTTTCTCCCTCCAATGACAGTACACGATTCACATTGTTCCGTCTTCGCATACCAACCCAATACATAACAATGCATATGACTTTCGCTATAGCTAAATGTCGCATTCGAGTCAATTTATACAAATCTTTTACTTCGATCCTTCTACCGGTCATCCTTGATAAAAAATATAATCATAAAAACACACATGGATTAAAATTATCACAAACTTAATTAATTAGCCAAAGGAAACAAAAATGAAACAAGTAATTACATAAATTTTATATATACGATAGTATAATAAAGTATACTAAAGTATTGTATATATACGAAAGTATAACATGTTATATAATAAATTTTATATATACGATAGTATAATAAAGGAAACAAAAAAGGAAACAAACTTAATTTGACACCTATTAATCCCCTACTAAAGTATTGTATATATACGATAGTATAACATATTATATTTATCAATACTCAAACATAACATACGGAGTTCATTTATAAGATGGCCGCCCAACCCAATAGAGTCGGGAATGAACAGTAATGAGGTTCGCAGACAGATCAATTTTAACCGAGAATCAGACTCTATCAGCTAAAACAAAACGAAAATCGAAGTTGCGATATGAACAGTACTCTGCACGATTCTTTCTCTCATAAACGAGGTTTTGGCCACCATTCGTTCTTCTAATAGCATGTACCGAGTAAAAAAATAAAAAAAGGATGAAGAAAAAGGGACAAACCTGAAGAAGGAGAACAGTCTCTGCTGGAGCCGCAGGAGTGAAGAAGGAGAACGGTCTGGTGCGGAAGAAATAGTAGAGGACGTTGGTGATGAGTAGATTTTGAAATAGTAAGGGCAAAAGTTGTCCAACACTTCATTACACCCCAAATTGGAGTGTTTAAAAAATGGCAAACATAGGTGTTAGGAAGGTTAAGAGTAACACCCTCAAACACTTACTAACACCCTTAAAGAAATTTAATTTTTCTCCCAAACAAGTGTTAGACTAAACACTCCTTAACACTTCCATTACTAACACCCTTAACACCCAATCCAAACAGGCCCTAATGGGTAGGGTTGCGGAATTAAAATCTCAAACCCGATAGTAGCTGACTCGGTCGAAATTCATTTTACTATTATTATGCTACAATGTTTTCTTGGATAATTTCAATTTAAGACCAATGTGCTCTATCTAGAACTTTATGATATTAGAATTATAATTAAACATTTACCATTTTGACTAGGTGATTATTAGATATTTATGTTTCCTTCTAAATGATATTACCTCATGTTTTTGCTTATATATTCATAAGACTCACGCCCGCCTCACCATGTACATGCCATGAGGCATATGCCTCAGTCCCAAATGGCGTAAGCCTCAACATTGCTTACTTTTGACATCACCTTACAGCATTTGGTCCAAACATCTCTGAGGCATTGCGCAATTACAAACATTAGAATGAAGTAAACAAGTTCCTGAGACACAAGTAAATTATTGTATTCATATTCTATTCAGATCAAACTGAGCACAAAAATTAATTAGAACATTGTAGATAAATAAGGAAGGCGTTTACCTCTTGCTATGTGTCGGCTGTCCTTGGATAAGGCCTTCCCCAGGGACACCAAGTTTGATTGAGAGCAAACCTTGTTGGGCCTGGGCTTGGCTCCCTAGGTATAGTTGTGTCTATTAACATCCCGTGGTATAGTCTTCCGTAAAGAGTACAGTTCTTCTTATTCACTAAGATCTAGATTTTAGTTTAGAATACCCTGGGTTGAACTAGCTAACTAGTTGGGTTTCTCATGAAAGCCTGGCCACATGTCTAGAATATTTACTATAATTTGGTCTTTTGCCAAGCTATATTGCGATGTTTTACATGACTATTTGCTACTTTTGGTACTAAAGGTTCAAACTACAATTCATGCCAAGCTGAAAGATAACACGTTTACGGAACCATTCGCAACCAAGGAGTTAGCATGGTTTATGGTACGTTGGCATACACACAATAATAATAATAATAATAATAATAATAATAATAGCAATAGAAATAGCTATAGCAATAGTAACAATAACAATAATAACAACAATAATTTTTCATCCATATAATTGCTTCTTATGTAGTCATTTCACTGTTTGGTATATTATCTTTATTGGTACTAGGCATCTGCTTTACTGAGCCTCCCTGTGATCTTTCTTCTTAATACGTTTTCAGCATTTTTCAGGTTAGTGCATATTTGGGTTTAAACTGCCTATTAGTGTCATTAGAATCTTATCTTAATGCATATTTTGATGTTTCAGAAAAACACCAAAGAAACGTTCACGAAGTCACCACAAAAGCCACACCCATCGAAGGTCTAAAAGAGTTCACCCAGAAAAATGAAGTGTTACACGGTAGTTTGATAAAACCGTATGTTGTGTTGCCGGTCATGTTAGCTTTCCCTAAACATTGTGTCCTCTGTATTGATTTTGTAACAGTGTGTTGATTTGATTCACTTCCCCAAGCTAAGTTAAAAAAGAACATATAAATGAACGGAAAGTGAAACTATCCAATATCCATATAAAAAGGACTGATAAGAAAAAGAGTATTGTTAATCATTGAAGACTTTGTTTTTGCATACTTTGATTATAGGGTAAATGCTATGAACCACAGTTGTTATAGGAAGTGTGTCAGTTGAGATTGTCATTTGTGGTATGAGTACTTTGCTTTTTTTTCAAATGGTTGGACCCGGAACCGGCCCGGGTTGATACCGGGTCCGGTCCTAACCGGGCCGGGCCGGGTCCGGGTCAAGTTAAAAAATTTTTTTTTGCTTTCTAACTAACCCCGACCCCCCCTCACCCCCCAACCCCCCCCCCAAACACCCAACCCTAACCAAGAAAAACAAAAAAATTGAAAAAACAAAAAAAAGCCCGGGCCCGGCTCGAACCGCCCGGGCCGGTTCAACAAATACTGGGCCCGAGCCCGGCCCGCCCACCCCTCCCCAACCGGGTAAAAGCCCGGACCCGGTTAGCACCAACCGGGCCAGGCCGGGCCCGTACAGTGGCAGGCCGGGCCGAACCGGTTGCGTCCATCCCTAACTGTAACCGATGTAGTAAGACTGTAAGAGTGTGGGGCAAATAAGCATATGATCTGATGTTGTATTTACTGTGCACCTGAGTAGTGATAATAAATTTTGACACCACCAAGGCACCAATGCTGTGTAGTAGAATTCCATTCCACAGTATAACACATACTCATAGACGCTTATGGTGGAGTGATATTGACTTAGGAGATGTGGCTGTAGTTGAATACTTGAATATGCTTCTCTGCTGGCAATGTGACACTTTCCTTTTTGACTGATTTCATTCAATATCATTCTGAGCTGCTTTCTTCCATTGTTTCTTTATTTTGTATTGTGTAGGTTAAGTTCCTGATTCCTTTTTCACTAGGTTGAAGCAAGGCTTCAAGTCATTGTAAACACTCAGGAAGAGGATATTATAGGCGTAAGAAAAATAGACGACGGTAGAGGCTATGAAATTCATTTGTGGTTCCATGCTCTCATTGTTTGACTTAAATTTGTTGAATTTGGAATCACCTAGAGGAAGAAGGTACACCCAAAAGGATCTTTATTTTTTCAAAAAATGTCCTGCTTTTTAGATTCACACAGAGAAAGGGACACCCAAAAGGAATCATTCTCATTTGTTTTTTTTTGTTGCTAAAGCAACACTTTGCTTGTTTGGTTTTCGGTTTGTTTGGGTGTTTGACAAACTAGGTTAAATACTGTTCCCAAAGATGATTTTTCTTATATTTGATTATTAATGTGTCCAGGTCGTGCTATTGTTTGTAACACCTTACTCGTGCGATTGATTACTTGTGAGATTCAGTCATATAATGCGTCTTGGCCCTACTAGGACTCCTATTATAGGTGGATGTGTTTCTTTTTTCCCAGCTTATATTAACATAATAGAATCAATTAACCAAACATCAAACTCATCACCTACCCCTATACTTGTTCTAAACATATAAAAACCAACATGCTTTTACACCCTCTAATAAGATATAGAATATACGGTCCAAACATGAGCAAGACTAATCACTGAAATGTTAGATATTCAAAACAAGAATGGGTCATATATGCCTTGTTACTTCTTCCCACTCGAACGTTAGCAAACACAAGCTAAAAAACTACTTCCTCCGTCCCGAAATAAATCTCCTGCTTTCCCAAAATGGATGTCCCAAAATAATTGTCTTACTTTGAAACTTTCCTTATTTGGTAAACAAATCTATACAAAATAGTGTCAAACAGTGCAAAACAGTGCCAAACAGTGTTGCTACAGTGTCAAACAGTGTTGCTACAGTGTTAAACAGTGTCACTACAATGTGAAGTCAACTTCATTTTCTTAATCTGTGTGAAGGTCAAAGTAGGACAATTATTTCGGAACAGAGGGAGTACATGGTCAAAGGATGGACCTGGGCCGGTCCGGTTTCGGGCCGGGCTCGGGCGGGCTTTTTCTGTAGAATCATGGGCCCGGAACTGGCCCGGGGTGATACCGGGTCCGGTCCGGGTCGGGCCTCCCCGGCCGGGTAGTGGGCCGGTTCGGGCCGGGCCCGGGCTATATATTTATTTTTTTAATTAAATTCAGATTAGTTGGACATTAAAAATTTAAACTATTCTCCCTCCGTGCCTATATAAAAGTATTTATTCATTTTCCACACATTTTAAGAAAGTGGGTTTGGTTAGTACTTTTTGGCACTGTTTGGACACTGTTTGGCACTGTTTTGCACTGTTTTGTTTGCCAAAAAAGGAAAGGGAATTTTTATTTAGGGACGACCCGAAAAGGAAACAAATGCTTTTATTTAGGGACGAAGGGAGAATAGTTTAATTTGAAAAATGTAGTACAATTGGAAATTGAGCAAAAATTACAACATGAAATACACTTTTTAATAAATAAGAATCAATCAGAATTTCCGCCATCTTCAGTTGTTTCTTCCATAAAGTGGCGGGTGGGTTCAATGCTAATTTCTTGAGTTCTACGTTTGGCCTTCAACCAATCGTGGAAGCAAACAAGCGTCTCAAGAGAGTTTGCGCTCAATCTCGTTCTATAATCCGTTAGGACGTTGCCGGCCGCACTAAACTCTTGTTCCACATCAACTGTTGATACGGGCATTGCTAGCACTTGCTTAGCCATCTTTGATAAGATCGGGAACGTTCTCTCTTTTTCCTTCCACCACTGAAGAACGTCAAAGTCATCCCCTTCTTCATACTCAACAGAAAATGTTAGATACAAAGAAAGCTCGATGATCGAGCTTTGTTCATTAACCGGAGTTGATTTACTTTTTTTCATAAAATTGCCAAATGTAGATTTCAAAATTGATTTTCCTTTAGATGAAGAAGATGTTCATGGTGGGGGAGGAGGTGCGTAACCATATTGTGCATGAAACTCATTAAATAATTGATATAATAAATTACTAACCTCTTGAAATTATTGTTTCGGGTCTATAGCCTTGTCGTCGTACATAGGCAATGGACCAAAAAAGAAGCATAATAGTAATCTAAATATTGCTCCAAAGAAGCAAGTCTAAAACAAGGATCAAGAATAAATGCAATACTATATTGATGGATTGTGTACCCAGGGGGTAGCTTATCCGAGGGGTTATTGCGGAGAATAACTAGAGAGAAGTCAGAGCAAATAAGTAAGAGAGAGAGTGTATATTCGATATGTATTAAGCGTGGTTTACAATGGGGGAAAGGGGTGCTATTTATAGTAGTAATAAATGCCAGATAAGGACACGTGTCAGTTTTCTGGTGGTCGAGGGGTCACCTCAATCGGGGTGGCACTGGCACTCGCGTGTGGCCGCATTAAATGCGGTGGTTGGATGTGACGTTTGTACTTGGTACGGTGATCCAGGCGCGTGTGAAGAGGATATTCTGTCGGGGTGGATGCCTTCGGCTGAAGGGTGCTGGGCCGAAGGCTCTTCTAATCGAGGGCTCCTACCTGCCGAAGGCTGTAGGTGCCGAAGGCTTGGTTTTCAAGCCCCGTTCTTCTGTGATGCCTCTTCTAACCGAGGGCTCCTATCTGTCGAGGGCTGCAGGTGCCGAAGGCTTGGTTTTCAAGCCTTGATCTCCTATGATGCCTCTTCTAACCGAGGGCTCCTACCTGCCGAGGGCTGCAGTTGCCGAAGGCTTGGTTTTCAAGCCTTGTTCTCCTATGATGTTTCTGAGCTCGATTCCGTCACTGGTAGCCTTCGGCCATGGGGCCGAAGGCACCCCTTTGCGTATTGTGGGCTGCTTAGAGCTCCATTTTTCTGGCTTGGCCCGTTTGGGCCTGTTGGGCCTGATTGTAGTAGAGGAAGTATGTGGGCCGGGGGTCCCTGGGCCATATACTCCATCAGGAGTCCCCCACTCCTTTTGCCGAAAGGTACTTGAGGGAAAAGGAGTAGCTGTGGTGATTTTGTAATACCCGAGATTAATTAAGAGGATTAATAGTACTACTCATACCAATAAGGTGCATCTCCTTTTAAGGGAGCTCATTAGCCAAGAACTCCAAAGTTAAGCGTGCTTGCACAGGAGTAGTCTTGGGATGGGTGACCCCCTGGGAAGTTTCTCAGGGCGCGCACGAGTGAGGACAAAGTGCGCGGAAAAGGCTAGTGGCGGTTTGTGAGGACAGTACTAGAGGTCCGAAGTAACTACCTCGGGGCCTACGGGGCCGGGGTGTTACAAATGGTATCAGAGAAACCCTGCGACAGTGTGATGATCCGTTGGATATCGGGCGGGCACTTAGCAGGGGAAAAGATTCTGGGATATGATTGAGATTGGTTTATGGGCGCAACGAGGACGTTGCGTTCCTAAGTGGGGGTGATTGTAATACCCGAGATTAATTTAAGAGGATTAATAGTACTACTCATACCAATAAGGTGCATCTCCTTTTAAGGGAGCTCATTAGCCAAGAACTCCAAAGTTAAGCGTGCTTGCACAGGAGTAGTCTTGGGATGGGTGACCCCCTGGGAAGTTTCTCAGGGCGCGCACGAGTGAGGACAAAGTGCGCGGAAAAGGCTAGTGGCGGTTTGTGAGGACAGTACTAGAGGTCCGAAGTAACTACCTCGGGGCCTACGGGGCCGGGGTGTTACAGATTTCCCCGAAGGCTTCCCTGTTCTGTAGGGTGCCTCATTTTCTCAATTCCCCCATATGTCGAGGGCTGAGAGCTTCCTGAAGGGAGTGTAAGTGTGTTGCTCGTATGTGTTTCTTTGTTGTAGTTTGTAAAGTAATGAGAGATCTGCATTTGTGTGCTTTGCCGAGGGCATTTGTTGACTGAAGGCTTTGTGTGGCCGAAGGCATCATGTGGCCGGAGGCATCGTGTGGCCGAAGGCATCGTGTGGCCGAAGGCATCATGTGGCCGAAGGCATCATGTGGCCGAAGGCATCATGTGGCCGAAGGCATCATGTGGCCGAAGGCATTGTGTGGCCGGAGGCATTCTGTAAGCCGAAAGCATCATGTCGAGGGGAGTAGATTGCCGTTGTGATCTTGCCTCAGCTTGCTGTAGCTGAGAAATAGAAATTTTTTAACATTTGCGTGTTTTGCCGAGGGGAGTCCCCCAGTCCCCCACTCCTTTTGTCGAGAGTTTCTCGAGGGAAACCGGAGTAGAGTGATGCATGCCTTCAGCAGGAGCCGCCGAGGGGTGACGCCTTTTGTTCCACAATGGGGAGATGCCCCGTTAAAAACCTCATTAGGAAAAAACCCTGTGGGAAAAAAATCCTAATGAGGGAAAAAGAGTACACCGGATGCTCCCAGAATGAAGCAAAAGGAATGCACCCTTCGGCCTAGATTTTTGAGCGGTGGTTGTGTCCGTCTGCTGAGGGGATATCGAAGACCAGCCTTAGATCCTGCATGAAAAAGTTGAGGAGCTTGTAAGGACCCCCCGTTATCAAATAAAGGTGACGGGGGGGTGCAAGGCCAGGTGGGCCTGTGTGAGAGCCCCTGGCATCAAATACAGATGTCGGAGGGATGGAGACCGAGGGGCCTGTGTGATTGCCTCCGACATCAAATAAATATGCCGGAGGGGTGAAGGCCGATGGCCTATATGATAGCCCCTGGCATCAAATAAAGATGTCGAAGGGATGAAAGCTAGGCTGAGGGGCCTGTATGACAGCCCCTGGCATCAAATAAAGATGCCAGAGGGATGAAGGCCGAAGGACCTGTGTGATTGCCCTCGACATCAAATAAAGATGTCAGAGGGATGAAGGCCGATGGGCCTGTATGATAGCCTCTAGCATCAAATAAAGATGCTGGAGGGATGAAGGCCGAGGTACCCGTGTGATTGCCCCCGACATCAAATAAAGATGCCGGAGGGATGAAGGCCGATGGGCCTGTATGATAGCCCCCGGCATCAAATAAAGATGCCGGAGGGATGAAGGCCGAGGGACCTGTATGATTGCCCCCGACATCAAATAAAGATGCCGGAGGGATGAAGGACGATGGGCCTGTATGATAGCCCCCGACATCAAATAAAGATGTCGGAGGGATGAAGGCCGAGGGCCGTTGTGATGTGGAATCATGCTGAGGCCGAGGGCCGTTGGTGATGTGAGATCACGCTAAGGCCAAAACCATTATGACATAGGGTCATGTTGAGGTCGAGGGCCATTCTGATGTTGAGGCCGAGGGCCGTCTGATGTTGAGGCCGAGGGCCGTTGGTGATGTTGAGGCCGAGGGCCGTCCTTATGTTGAGGCCGAGGGCGGTTGTTGACTTTGAGACTGAGGGCTGTTCTGATGTTGAGGCCGAGGGCCGTTGTGATGTGGAATCACGCTGAGGCCGAGGGCCGTTGGTGATGTG